ATCGATTACTTGCAAATAATTGCAAGTTAATTCAGTATCGATTACTTGCAAATAATTGCAAGTTAATTCAGGATCGTGTACTTGCAAATAATTGCAAGTTAATTCAGTATCGATTACTTGCAAATAATTGCAAGTTAATTCAGTATCGATTACTTGCAAATAATTGCAAGTTAATTCAGTATCGATTACTTGCAAATAATTGCAAGTTAATTCAGTATCGATTACTTGCAAATGATTGCAAGTTGTTAAACAATTTGAGATGCAGATTATTCATTATAAATTATTTAGCAATATATTATTCCATAATAACAGCATTGCATTCTGTAAATATTAGCTCATTAATTTTCCGGAAATGCGTTTATAATATAAGCTTACGCAGGTTATTTTTAATTTATTAGTCTAAGTCATATTAAAAATAACATTAATCTGACGTAAACAATTAGCAATGCATCATAACAAACGTCACAGTATTTCGGAAATTAAATTATCAATTAATTATTAATGAGAATTTCTATTTAATATTTGAATTAAATTTTTGCTCACATTTCATTGGTATTACTCACATTTCATTGGTATTACGTACAAATTTAAGTCTTAAATTGATCAATTCTTAAATTAATCAAGCTTGAATTAATCACTTAAATTAATCAAACTTAATTAATCAAACTTAAATTAATCAATCCCTTAAATTGATCAATTCATCGGAGTTTTAGATTAATCGAATCGATTGAATCAAATTAATTTGGAAGTTAAATCATTAATTATTTGTTAACGAGAATTTTTGCTTAATTAAAATTTTTGCATTTATAGGGGATGCCATCATTAAACGATCATATTGTGCAATTGTATACACCAAATTATCTTCCAGCTGATGAGAACGGTTTTTCAACTGGTAAACAATGGAAAATGTTTACTTTTTAATTTAAAATAATTAAAATTAGGTTAAAAATTTTTGATTCTAAGTTACAAAATATTTGTTTTTTCAATTTGAAATAATTGGATTTATTTCAAGGGAAAATTGGCCTTAAATTAAAAGAATATTTGTTTTTTAATTTGAAGTAACTAAAATTAAATATGCATTTTTTTCTTTTCATGAACAATTATGAATGTTGCTGATAGTCGATTCAATTTTCTTGTGAGACGTAAAATATCAGATTTAATGGAAAAAAATAATGGTCAATTGGATTACAATCATGATTTTTGTTTTGAAATGGATGAATTAAATGCATCTAAAAAACTTCGTCATATTGCTAGGTTTTTAAAAATTTCCATTTTTTTTTCAAAATTTAATTTTGAAATTTTTTTAATTCTGTAATATTTTGAGAAAAAAAATTTTAAAAAAATATCAAAAGTTAAATTTTTTTACAACTTCTTCTTTTTTTTTTTTGCTCCATTATTTCTCTAATCTTATTAATTAGTTAATACCAATTATTCCAATTTTAGTTTAATATTAAAGAAATAATACGATTAATTATTGCTAATTATAGTGTTGCATCTATTTCAAGTGGTATTCAGATGACAGTTTCGACGACATATCCATGTGTATATATTAATATGGGTTCCTGGTTAAATAATCTTAACGGTAAAGCGAATCATGTTTATAATTGTTATTCGGCTTTCACATTACAATGTCGTGGTTTAAGTGATGCTATAAATCAAGTTTGTTAATTTTAATTTAAAATTTTCTTCTTTCATCTTCATTCACTAACAATTATTATTGCTATGATAAATAATTTTCAATCAAAATTTTTTTTTCAATTTTGGATGATTTTCAATCAAAAAAAAATAGCAATTTCAAAATTTACAATCTTTTTAAACAAAAAAAAAAAAAAAAAAAATACATGAATGATTTTAATGCAAAAATTTAGTAATTGAAATTAACTTATACTTAATTATTAACTATATTACCGCCATTTAAATGATAAATTGTTTAACTATTATCGTTTTTTAATTGATGAATTACTTCACTATTACTGCCATATCATTTGATTGATAGATTATTTGACAGGAAAAAAAAAAAATTGAATATAAACAATTAACTTATTGAAGCGTACCATTTATTGAGGCATAATAATTAAGTGACTATTACCGCTATTTGATATATGAATTAATCAGCTATTACTAGTACTATTTGATTGATACATTCTTTAACTATTACCGTCATTTGATTGATAAATTAATTAAATAATTGATAAAGATCGAAAATCATTGAGGAATCATTGCATGAAATGTTTTTGTATTAAAATTTTTATTTCAAGCAAATAATCTTTTCCCTCATTAATTTAAATTATTCTATTCAATTTAATAAATAAAATATATTTACATTCATTTTTTATTATTTTAATTTATTTAATGTTTAAATTCTAAACGAAACCATAATTGTATTTATTATTAACAATTTGCATAAATTATTCCTTTTAATAGAAATTGAATTTAATTACTATCATTATTATCCTCAAATTATCATAATTAAAATATTACTGTAATATTTCAGTCACATTTTCCAACAATTATACTGCGACCAGATGAACTGTATCAACATCTTACCGTTTATCGATTTGGAATTGATAATGAATAATCTCTACGATCATCATAATTGATCTCTTCGTTGTTTATTTACCGTATATGCTTAGATTAATAAAGATATTTCATATTTAATTCACTGTAAATACAACTCCAGTTATAGTTTCGAATGAAAAAGTTAAATTGAAATATACTTAATTTCGATCTCAACCTGGAAAATGGTAAGATAATAAATTTTAGGAAATTAAATTTTATTCATTAATTCAATTAAATCACCAAATTGAGCAACATTATAATTAGCAGTAAGATAAAATATGCAATACAAGCGGAAAAGTTACATGTATTAGAATAATCGAAATGAGAGATACCGGAATCGGAATGAGAGATGCTGGAATCGAAATGAGAGATACCGGAATCGGAATGAGAGATGCTGGAATCGAAATGAGAGATATCGCATATTAATAAATTATATATAATAAGGAGGAAAATATGCATATATTGGAAGTGAAATGATATATCTGTCGTTTGTCAAAGTTAGCATAATTTTGTCAAAGTTTGTCAAAGTTTTATATAGCATAATTTATTTTGAGATTCAATACATTGCTTTTTTAGCCGTGGCCAAGTCGGAAATTCAAGCCAAATTTGCTAATATTAGGGTTGGGATGATAAGCAAATAATCTTTTTCTCTCTTGTCTTATTTAGACTTATTCTCTTGTCCCATATTTTCCTTATAATTTTTTTTCTGTATTTGATTTGATAATATGTAAATCAAAAATGAAAAATAGCATAAACAAATAATGGGAAAATAAAGATGAAACGTTTGAAATTTATCCTTTTCATGTTTTATAATCTAAATTTAAATCTTATTTGAAAAATTAAGAAATGTATTACTTGAATTAACATGATCTGTTTGAAATTTCATTAAAGTATATCCATTTTACATTTGAAATTCTCATTCGATATATGAAATATCCAATCATTTTTTCCAATTATGCTTGAAAATGTTTTTGCATAAAAAGTAATTGTGCATGTCAAGATAATTGATATTACATCAAAAAGCAATCTTGCATGCCGAGCAATTTTGCATGCAAAGCACAAGTTACGCATAAAATGCAATTATCTTTGATACGAAAGATTTATTTACACTTACAAATGAATTATATCAAATTATTTCAGTTGTTTCAATTAAAATATGTTGAAAAAAAAAGGAGATTTTATAATTTCATCATTTTTTTTTTGATATATACAAATGTTTAGTTTATGATAATTAATTATTTCACGTTTATAATGATAATTATTATCAAATTTTAGTCATTAAAACAATTTAATTTTAGCAATTTTAAGTAATACTTGCAAAACTAACTTATAACAATCACGTTGTTTGCTTTTTTTTTTTTTTAGCGTGAATTTGCTTATTCATAGTAATGTTCGTACTTACGTACGCATTCGTAATAATATAATTATATTCTCAATATCATTCATGAATTATGCAAACGAGCATGATCTATTACCACTATACTTTAGCAAAAACACGTACGTGTTTATACGTAACATGTACACGTTTTAGCTATGCCATATTGTTAATAATTATTTTATAATATTAAAAAGTAATGATTTCAGGAATTCATGTCAAATTCAATAGAAATGATAAAGTTCAAAAAATTTATGCAAATAGCAAACTGCATTCATGAATTCTTGTAAAAAAAATGTTTTTTAAAATAATCTTGAAAAATTAAAACACATATGGAAGATTTATTGTGTGAAATAAATTGTACAAAAAATAAATTAGAATTAAATAAAAATATTTTTTTTCCGCTTATAAAAAAAATTTTTTTACAAAACCATTTGAATTTTTGCTGTTTAATTTAAATATTTACATTTAAAATTTAGCGTTAATTTTCTTCAAAGAAATTTGCTAATTGATTTAACAATTCTTTTCCTCTTGAAATTAAATGAAGAAAAGGAAAAAAAGGAGAAGTCAAAAAAATTTGAAGAAAAAATGCTTCCTGAAATGGAAGTAATGCTTCAAGATTAAAGCTAATTTCATGCTAAATGCTAATTTCTTGACTTGATTATTTTCGATATTGTTAAAAAATTATGAAATTAATTCAACCAATATTTAAATCCGAAATTTAATTAAACTTAATAAAGAATAACAATAGGAAAAAGAACAACAATGCATATTTATCGTTTCCATACAAAAAGTTTTTCTTCCGGAATTGTTTTGGCGTAAACTACACGGAACTTTCTTTACGTACGGTTTGTTTCAAATTGCTTCTTCGTCTTTTACGCCGAAAATGTATCACGTTAACAATGACAAATACTGTTGATAGAATTGTAAATATCACTGAAATAACATTAAAAAGTATTTGATTCGTCATTTTGTAGGTTTGATCAGAAAGGTCATGGGTCATCAAAAGGATGCTAAAATTTAAAATGTATTTTAATTTCATTTTTTTATTCTTTTTATTCCTAAATATTTCTATTGATATTCATATTTTATAAATTTATCCTTTGACAGTAACCATAAATTAAATTGTCACTGCAATCTGTTCATTGATGAATTATTTGTAGATCAATTTTTTTAAACAAATTTAAATTTCTAATTAAAATTGACCAAGAATAATGATAGTCCACTTTATCGTCATTGGATCATCTACTTCTGGTCTGAAATTTTATTTGCATTACAATCAAATTGTATCAATGTGCTATTCAAATTGATAAAGTTATGGTTAAGATATTAAATGAAATAATTATTTACGAAAAAAAAAGAACGAATAAGCAAATAATTAATATGCTAATTTTGTAATACTTTATAAATTGAAGTATAATTTTGAAATATGCTTCGCTACCATCTTCACCTAATGTTGCTTTACCAATATATGGCCATCGTGTGTCATCCATACGAGCACCTTAAAATTAAAATTAATGATAAAGCATGTGTACATGTATATCTGTGTTTAATTTTTCATTAAAAAAAAAAAAGGGGAAAAATGTGAAAGTTTGCAATTCCTTTTTCTTAACATTCATTTGATAATCAAAAAATTATTAATTTTATTAAAATTATCAATTTTCACTTTTTAATGCTTTTCTGGAAATGATATCACGTTGAAAATGATAGTATCGTATAGAAACAAAAAAAAAAGAAAAAATAAAAAACAAAAAAATAGACAAACCAAAGATCAAAGGGTTTTTTTTTTATTAACTTTTAACAGTTGAAAATAATCAAGCAAAATATTATCAAATTAGGATGGAAAAATGGATATTTTGATGTTCAATTAATTTAATATTATTTTGGAATAATGTAATAATTAAAAATACGTATGTGTGTGTATGTATGTGTATACGTGTGTATGTGTATACGTATGTGTGTATGTTATGTGTGTTTGTTTGTGTATGTGTATATGTGTGTGTATGCGTGTATATGTGTGTATGTGTGTATGTTATGTGTGTATTGAACATCAAAATATCCATTTTCCCATCATAATTTGATAATATTTTTTATGTGTGTGTATGTGTGTATGTGCGTATGTGTCTGTATGTGCATGTATGTGTGTATGTTGTGTGTGTATGTGTGTATAGGTTGTATACATATGTGTTAATAGCTGGTTATCATTATTTCGTAATTACTCGTTATTAATTTTAGAAGAAAAAAAAAAGGAAAAAGAAGAAAGAGACAATACGAATAAATTGATAAATATTATAATAAATTACTTCTATACTTGAATTATTTCGTACTATAATCAGTACCAGACTTTACTTTTCAATTATCATTCACTCATTTCTCACTATACATTACTCATTTTTTATTATCATTACTCATTT